CATTTGATTAACATTATTTTATTTCTCTTCTATTGTCTCTGTTATTCTACTATTGCTACTATTCTATTATTTTTTTTATTTTTTTCCCTTTACATTTTTCATTTTTATTCTGGGAGTGGTAGGCCTAAAGGGGAGAAGAGAGAGGTGCGCTTGACTTAGGGCCCTACTGAAGCCTCGGTGCGGAGTGCTTTGCGCACTCATGCGACACATCTCAGCATCTATGCACTGAATCTCACTGCCTTATTCATCCTCACTCCGGATTTTCCGTCGGACGGAATCAACGATTTTTGACATTGTACCTATATGGCCGATTCAAATCAAAAACAAAAAAATCAAAAACAAATCAAATCAAATTATGGAAAAGTAAGAATTATTGAGAAAAAAATTTTCAGGATAGATTCACTGGCGCGTATGATGATTTTCGAAAAAATTACTTATTTATATCTCCCTCGTGCACACGCGTATTTCCAATCGCCGGATACTGAAGATCCTGTTGCCGGCTGCAGATGGCTGTCTTGGCAGCGGATGGTGATTACCGTTATCCCATCACCACAATCTAGTGATAGCTACAAATGGCCAGCTATTGAATGTCCTATCGCTGGCTATTCATGGCTATTGCCGGCTGTAGAACGTTCTATCGCCGGCCATTCGTGGCTATAGCCGGAGATTGAACGTTCTTTCGCCGGCCATTTGTGGCTATAGCCGGCGATTGAGCGTTCTATCGCCGGCCATTCGTGGCTATATCTGGTGATCATATCGCCAGCTATAAAAGCTATAGAAAATCCTACAGCCGGCCATAAGATTTCTCTATCGCCTCTTTGGCTTATTTTTGTCAGGGAGAGTATGATACATTAATGGATTCACTATGGCTTTGACTACCTGTTTACAGCAAAATTTGCAAAAATTAATGCTGATATGAATTAAAAAATGTTGAAAAAACACAAGCAGTTATTAATTTCTCCATAAGCCACCATGATAATAAATGCCGTTGGGTTCACACTTGGTTCACACTTTTCGGAGCACAAGTGGCTCGGCAAGGCCCGTTCATGGATTGACTTCATCGGCGCTCCAGTACTAATCTGCAAAGCGGGTTTAAATTGTTGCAACACTCGAGGTTCCCGTCAGAAAATGACGTTTTCCCAGGGTTGTTTGCTCTTTATGTAGATTGTAGAGCACAGGTAGAGGGATGAAAAAAATATGCATAGATTTCATTTATTTTATTGATTGCGTAGGCACTGTTGAGAACAATCATTTGTACGGTCAATTTGCACATAATATGCATATGACGTTATGATAACCTTCCCAAGCAAATAGCTAATACCCATGCCAACTGTTGGCGCCCCTGCGCCCTGAAATTATCGAACTTCGATACCTCTCCGCCACCTATCGCCTTTTCTGCTAATTAGCGATTTTGGTTATCGAGCTCCCCTATAGACGCTATTAGTGCAACGTCACAGAAAAGCGATATATATCGATTTTTTCGCACTGGTAGCATTGAAAGAGGTTATGCCAATGTTATTGTTTGGATCCAATTCGATATAATGGAGAATCCCTATGATGACGTCGCCACTAATAGCGTCTATAGATCGCGCATGCTTGTCAATTAGCACTCACTCATCTGTCACCCCTCCCCTTTCTCGATAATGGACTCTTCCATTTTTTGCATGCCACTTACCGCGTTGCCAGCGCTCTCTTCGTGATGGTTCCTCCCCTCAAGAAGACCTGTTGAATTCTGCTTCGACCTGCGCCCCCGTTGGTTTCCTCTCTCAGCTTCCTCTGGTGAAAATCGTGTCTTTCGTGTAAAGTTCTCGATTTATCTATCTTTCTTCGATTCTCCATCCTTGGATTAACCTGGTAGCTCTTCCTGATCGTCATATTGGTTGTATTCAGGTAGAATTCATGAGTTATACCTCTTTAGAAATCTAGCATCTAGGACCTCAGCCCCCCTTAGGCTTCACCTCGTGGTTGCTAATTTCAACCCTGACGAATATCAGCATAATTTTCACCCTTTGTTCCCTATTTGCCCTGAATACCCTTCATTAGAGCTCAAAGTGAACTATCCCTTTCCTTTACTCCCTTAAACCCTCTCCTTAGTTTCCCTAATCCTCTGGAGACTTCAAGTTCAAGGTCATGCCTAGATCCCTCATGACCATGGAAGGCTAAAGTTTCAATTATGACTTCATGAGCAAGTCTTGTCACCCAGGAATAATGGTTCGATGGTCTCTGCACATTAACACTCCATGGTAAGCCTCATGTTTCACTCAGACATACCCCTTTATGACGTATGATGATTTATGTATTATGTGTTCCCACACCCCCGCCCCATTTCAGGTTTCTCTAAGTTCAGTCTCTTAAGCCCCCAAAAAGATACAGTCCACTAAATTTATCGGAATTCAGGCCCCCCAAAGATCGATTTTACCTTTCGATTTTATAGAGGCCCAAACACCAACAAAGCGAAGATTGTTCATTTATTTAACTGTTTAGTTGCCATAGAGGGGTAAGCTCTGTTCTGAAATTAGCCTCAAATCGTCTTTCCATATTTCTGATTATTTTGGCAAAAAGATTTATAATGTGGGTAATTTCGGATAGTTGTGGAAGAAAAGAAAAGTTGCACAACCTAAGCGACGTTGGCATGGCACGGTTCGTTTGAACCAAAGTTAAATGTTAAAGCATATTGACAGCGATTTTCCTTTGGAACCTTAAAGTAGGACGTGTACACGTTAATTAAATCCCTAAACGAAAAAATTCGGTCGAGCTCCTGGAAAATAAAATCGATTTGAAGATTTTTACTCCTAAATTGGCTGAAAATTGCTGATTTTGGAGCAGATATCCCATTAGCAGAATAAGGCAATGTTGTTTTTGATGTTTCAGAGTTGGGGGAGGGTGCGAATAAGTTTTTAAGCCACCCCCCATAAAAATACAACCCCCCGCCCCCTACAGAAAAAGCCTTGCCTACCGCATAACGAGGAATGTAAGACATATTAGCGAAGTATAATTTTTTATTGAATGAAGATGGTTTGAATTTACTTTCAGCAGAGTTTTCGACCTTTACTGTCATTACAGGATGTCTTTTAAATTTTGAGAGCGAAAGACCGGTCAAAGTGGAAGTATTTTTCACCATTTTTGTCTATCTGGTGACACCGTGCGACAAACAATCAAACATCTATGGATCTTTTGAAATTTGGTCTTCCATACTGGTGGTATGGACTTGCTTTTCACCAATTTTTGAACTTCCAGTGTCATTACAGGGTGTC